CTGCTCTCCAATTTGAACTAATCGATTCAAAGTGCATTGTTTATTGTTAATGAATAGGCATCAAATAATGAGTAGGCATCAAATATCTCAGACTTTTGTCAACTCTACAAAAGAGTGACATTGGTTTGACGTGAATTCATCCTTTTGTTCTATTACCCCGTGAACATTTTGAGCAATATATTACAAATAGTTACATTCTGAACAGGAATACTTTATCTCAAGAAGTGATAATAGTTATTAAACTTCTTTTTGTGTTGTGATTTGAGAATAATGCTTAGTGTTTATTCTTGCTGTCCATTGTGACATTATCTGCTAATGATCATTTTTAATTTGGTTCTGGATTTGACTGATGATGCTATAAGTTGTTTCATAGGCACCCCTCTTTGGCGTAATGGGCCCCCCGAGAAACCAGTACTATGCAATGCATGTGGTTCTCGGTGGAGAACAAAGGGAACATTGGCAAACTATTTTCCTTTGCATGCTAGGGCAGAACCCAACGACTTTGAGGACTATAAAGTTTTGAAGATGAAGAACATATCTATGAATGACAAGGCAAGCATTCTCAAAAGAAAGCAAGCTAATCATATTTCTGAATATGGTGGAGTTCCTCCTGACTATAACCTGGGATTCCCCAAAGGGTTCGATGAAGATCCAAGCAATAGATCAAGTTCCGGCTCTGCCATATCAAACTCCGAGAGCTGTGCTCAATATGTCACAGCTGATGCAGGTGATTTGACAGGTTTGTTGGTTCTCCGAGCACATGTAGATATATGTATGCATACATTCAAAAGCGTTGAGTCATATGCCATCGGCCGTGGCCTATCCAAACTCCAAATCATATTGTTTCTTTGTCATTTTCTTTCTGGAAAGGAACGAGCATATTTGGCTAAGCTTAAAAGTTTTTCTAGAGAGTATGACTTTCTAGAAAATTAAGTTTTGTTAATAAAAGAAAATAGCTTTTACAATAATGTTTGACCTAAAGAAGCTTAAATGAAACTTTAACTTCTTTTTAAGTTTAGCCAAACAGGCCAAATTAGGTCTTTTGAATTGAACAAACACTATGTTCAATAATGAGGGGAAGTAATGCATGGTTTCATGTTAAGCACGTCTGAAAAAGATGTTCAAAGTTGAAGCAGAATTAACTGAAGAACAGAGCACATGGTTTAGTCGGCATACTCTCTTCTATTTGAAATATATGAACAGGAAGATACTTCTGCCTTTTTTGTGGTTGCACATGCAAAGCCACAATTGAATTCTTGTATTATGTAGTAGTTTCATATTTAGGCTCAACGTGAAGGTTATCAATTTCTCATCCGAACAGGTCCATCACAGCCTGTAGTATGGGACACCATAGTACCGTCAAGGAAGAGAACCTGTGTCAGTCGTTCAAAGCCATCTCCTGTTGAGAAGCTTACGAAAGATCTGTATACCATATGGCATGAACAACAGTCATCATATTTCTCTGGGTCTTCGGAAGAGGACTTGCTTCTTGAAAGTGACATACCTATGGTGTCTGTTGAGATTGGACACGGAAGTGTACTTATTCAGCATCCGAGCTCAATCACTAGAGAAGAAGAATCTGAAGCTAGCTCCCTTTCAATTGATAACAAGACACAGCCCACGAACGAGGCTTATTCATCGTCGATGACCCCTCCTCCTGTACATAGTGATGACAAGCTTGTTAAATTTCCAAGTCGGGAAATTGAGAAAGTCAAGAAGTTTACTGGACGGGGTCAAGAGCAAATTAAAAGGTACTTTCTTTATTCATTGTAAATGCTAGCAAGTCAAGATTGCTGAAATTTATAACGTGATGCTTCCATCTAAGGAGACATGGTATGTGATACTAGTACATAAGCTGATATATTTCAAGTCTGTAGGCTCTGCACAACTTCTGAGATCTTCTGAATCAGATTATTTGTATTTATCTTTTGCTTTCATTCCACTTTCAGAGATGAGAATCAACTTGAAAAGCTACAGTTGCTTGCAAATCATAATTCACCGCTACGTCATATAGACCTCAGAGTAAGTTACGATTCTGAATATGTTTTTGATATCGTACTCCGAAGCAAACTTATGCTACCCAGTCTTTATCTACTACTACAGTTGCATCTTTCTCATACGTGAAGGGCACCAGTCAAATTTGTCCAGTGTCATGAAATTTCTCTCAAGATTCTGATCTTTTTGATTGAGTGTTTAATGCATAGACTAAATTAGAAATTTCATTGTTATAGTTATTTCTGATAATATCAATAGATTCTTCATGACAGATTCAAGGCATTCAGAATATGGGTTTACTTCCATTATAACTCCAATCAATTTTCAGCTTATTTTTGCATGAATAAAGGCCCAATACTTTGTTATAAATGGCATCTATATTGATGCAGGACATTCTGAATTTCGATAAGTTCGTGGTTCATTTGACAAATGATGAAAAGAGACAATTACTGAAGATTTTACCTTCCATTGACACTTTGGCAGCTCCAGATAGGTTTGTTTTTTATCGTTACTTACAATAGCTCATCATATTGAAGCATGTAAAGCATATTAGTTGGTTGATAGGTTAACCAATGAGAACATTGTAATAGATACTGATGATGTTCCCTGCTTTTACATCCAGTCTTAAAAGTATGTTCAGTAGCCCTCAATTCAAGGAGAATGTATCATCCTTCCAGAAACTTCTTGCTGAAGGAGTTTTTGATAACTCGTTCTCTGGAGTGAAAACAGGCGATCATAGAACCTTGAAGGAACTTGCATTGTGCAATTTGACAAAATCAAAGTGGGTGGAAGAATATAGCCTACTTAAGGTTTGAACTTGTTGCATAGAATAATAGTGCATTTTGAAAAAGTATGTCTTTTGGATTCAGGTAATTTTTATTGATTTTGAATCCTGTTGTTTATATAGGAAGAGAAAGGCGGAAATACTATCGGTAAGTCTGAAGTGAGAGGAGTTATTGCAGCTGCAACCGGTCATTTGGAAAATGTTAAAAAATCACAAGATGGACAATACCAAAAGTTTATAAGTAAGCCATGTTTATTTTTTATCGTTGTATGGCTCAACTGAAAATCTTTAATGGGCATGTCTGGCTAGGAGGTTTAGAGAGTACTAGACAATTCGAAGGAAGAAAAAAAGGTTACAGTCTTGTCCATTCTATTGTCTAGTCAAGTACTGCATACAAACATGTGCTAGATTGTTTGGCACGTTTCTGCTTGAGAATTATATTATACTATATCCTCTTAATCATCATAGTCTGAATAATCTGGTGATAAAGATATATCTTTTGAATGCATGAAAGGTATTGAGTTGGAATATGCACGTGCAGGTTATTCAAATCCTTCTCAACTTCACTAGAGATTCTCACTCCACGAATTTCATTTCACCTATATGTGAAATCCACTTTTTTAACTTCTATCACGTGTGTTTGCTATTGCAAATTAAATGGTATTCCTTGTCAAAGTTCTCACCTGGTCAATCTCATGCCTGCAAGTCGCCAGGATTGCTTCTTGTATCTTAAGTCACCCTCGGGACTATTCATTAGTTAAGAATTTTTCTGATTGCCAAAGATGTTTGTAACATCGAAAATAATGGACGAGACTACTTAGATTACCCAACTTCATTATCTACCATGTAGCAATGACCTCTAAGAAACGACATGTTTCAGGAGCGAGGACTATGATGAAGAGCCCGGAAAGGGTGTTGATGAATCTGAGTCATGACCACAACGATCAAATAGACAATAATGGCCCAAAGAATCTGTTTTCATTGCCAAATGATAATGGCTCCCAGGATTTGGACGCATTGCAATGTGCTGATGAGAACTCGGAACAGGATCTACTGCTGGACGTGCCATATAACAGCTCTTTCCCACAGGCTGAACTCCTCTCGGCTTCAAGTTTTGCTATGCAAGCAAGTACCAGCAGTAATTTAGTGTACCCACATCTTGCTCGTCCCTGATGGCACTCGTCCAACCAACCTTTCTTTATTCACCAGGGCTGTTTTGGTGCCTTGCAAACCGGGACCAGATGAGGTTTGATGATTCCCTCCTCTCTTCCTCGTTTCTATTTCCTCAACCTACAAGAAACTCGAAACTAAGAGGGATGGATGTATCCCAGGTGTTTTTGGTATAGGTTGACAGAAGATTGTATTATTTAGAAGGAAAAAATGGTAATTTGAAGAGTTTATGCTTGCTGGGGAACTGTTGACTTGTGCTTGAGATAATTTTCTTTTGGCAAGAAAGTATCACTTGGAACTGAGTATTTTCTTAGAATTTATTAAATAAATGCAATCGACAAACCTGTGTGGCAATCAACGCAAGATTGTCCTTTTTGGTGCATTTTGGAAGAATTATTTAAGAAACTTTAATGTTTTTCTAGTCTCTTTTGCATGACATCATAAGTTTAAGTAACTCTTGTTGACCAAGAATTTTGTGTCGTACTATGCAACATCTCATTTAGATGTCTTGTATATTATTTCGCCATCGATCTAATTTTATGATTGATCATGAATTCTTCGTGATAGTATGGGAAAACAAATGTTCGATTAAGCGTTCAGGTATTTGGTCCAAATGATGTTTGTTAATCGTGAAGTCATCAAAGAAAAAGAAAATCAACAAAATGAAATGGCAATCAATTTATAATTATAAATTCATTCAAAGTCAAACAATAGTTTTGATCAAAAATTCATAAACTATTACTTATTTATTATTCAATATATCGTGAAATTAATTATTATTCCTCTTTATAAATAATTCATAAATTTATCAAACAGTAGAGGTATTTACAATGGGAAAGAAAGACATCAATCAAGACGACGGCGTTTTGGTGAATGGGAGTGGGTCTTGGACCGTTTATGACTGACCGTTGATTAAAACAAGCGGGAAAGTTTGATCATCTAATCATGATCGTACAATAAGAATATAAAAAGGCGGGAAAATCAGCACCCTGTAAAATCCCATTTCGATAAAAAAAAAAAAAACCCTAAAATTTTACACTTTGCAGCAATAATGGAAGTCGGGGAACACGACCGACGGTTCGATTCACTGAATAAGCTCTGCCAATCAACCTCATCCCAGGAGGCTAAATTTGATAACTGCCCCTTCGATCTCAATGTGGAATCTGACCCTGTCCCGGATTTATCGTGTCCGACGCCGGCCGAACCTACCGGAATATTTATGGTTTCGGCATGGGATAGAGGTTCAATTGAACAAATTACACCTCAGGATGATGATGAAATGGATTTCCAAACCCCTACGGAGCAGCATGTTTGCTCCTCTGAAGACAAAATATTTATGCTGGAGAACCCACAGTCGTCGATCTTGGTGAGAGCTTAAGGATCGTTGATTTGAGTGATGACACTCTGGTAAATGTGGTTAATGATTGAGGGAAAATGGGGTTTTGGAGGAGGAATTGGATAATGACTCTGTGTTGGAGAAGAGAGGAGTTTCTGAGGAGGATGTGGAAATGGAATGGGATGTTGAAACCATGCCTATTGGTAAAACATAGCCTGCTTTAATCGAAGTTGAAGGAAACAAGAATGTGAGTGATACCGAGGTTATCAATTTGGAAACTGATGAAATTGGTAAGGAATTAACCACTGTGAATTTGGTTGCTTTTGGTAAAATGGCAAGGCACAAAAATCTAGAGAATCCAAGGGATTCAGTGAAACTTTGGAGTTGCATGTAGCTGGTTAAAGTGAAGAGCTTGTTAGAGACTTAGAGTGAGCCAAAATTGAGAGTTTGGAAAACCTAGTGAACCTGAGGAGGTTGTTAAGGGTACAAAAGGTGAGAAGGCATGTAAAGATACGAGTGGGGATGAAGATTTCGGTATTTGTATGAATATGGAACGAATAGACAAGTTTAAGTATATTAATGGTGGCAGTACTGAGAGGAAACGGAAGGAGAGAATTTGTGGAGTTGACAGTCGTGTTGGTACAAGGCGTGAGTTGCCATCATCAATGAAGTGTAAAGAGAAGAATACTGGAAGCAGGGAGGTTGTAGGGAATGTTGGGATGAAGAATGGAGTTTTCTATGATTTATTGGAACTTTCGAAGCCTGTCTTTTCCAAAGTGGATAGTGACTCAGACTCAGAGGATGTGGATTTCTTGGAGAGAGCTAAGAGATTGTAGTATCACTTTTCCTCGACCTACATGGTGATCTCCTTAGGGGGTTGATGATTCAGTTTGTGGACCAGGAAACTGATGATTTAGGATGTTCTGTGTCTAGATCTAAGGTGGTAGCTCAGAATGTGGAAAGTAACTATGACGATGAATTTCTTGGAGATAGCTAAGAGACGGGGTTTTAACTTTTCCTCAACCTAGATGATGGTCTCCATAGGGGGTTTATAATTCGATTTTTGGACTTGGAAAATGATGAGATGTTTGGTGTCTAGATCTAAGGTGGTTGTTCTGAATGTGGATAGTGACTTTGAGGATGTGGATTTCTTGGAGATAGTTAAGAGATGGGGTTTGACTTTTCCCGAACCTGGCTGGTGGTCTCTGTAGTGTTGATAACTTGTTTGTGGACTGAGAAAGTGGTGATTTAGGAGTTTCACTGTTTAGATATAAGGTGGCTTGTTCAAAATGTGGATAGTGACTCTTAAGGATGTGGATTTCTAGGAGATAGGGGTATGAATTTTCCTCAACCTAGAAGGGAGGCCATCGTAGAGTGGTTTGTGGACGGGGAAAATGGTGATTTAGGAGGATCAGTGTCTAGATCTCATGAAAATTGATGTTTTGGATAAAAATTATTGAAATTCAACTAAGTTGATAGCTGGTTTATTGATGTAGGGCTTGCAATTTGTTACATCTCAACAACCAGTTGAAGCAAAACTGGTGGTAGAAGCTGAAACAGAAGCTGAAATTGTAGATGGTTGAAGTTAGTTAGGAAAGCTGAGTTGGAATACAGGTGTTAGTTAGCAGTTAGAATTCAGTTAGTTAGATAATTGTAGCCGACAGCTGGATAGCTATTTCTATAAATAGAATCAATGTACAAACAACAATCAATTGAATAAAAGAATACAACAGGAAAGAGCGTCTGATTCTCTCATCATTTTTCATTCTTATATCTTTTTCAGTTTTTTGATATGGTATCAGAGCTTAATCTAATGTCTCCCTTGTTGATTGTGATTATGGCTGCTAATGATTCTTTTAATCCTTTGTTCTTAGCAAACAATGGCAATCCTGGCAATGTATGGGTTTCTCAAGTTCTTGATGGATCCAACTATTTTCCTTGGAAGAGATCGATGTCCATGGCCATCTCTGCCTGGCTTTATCAATGGAAATCTCCCAAAGCCATGATCATTCTTATCAAGCATGGATTCGTTGTAATGACATGGTTTGCTCTTGGATCTTAAACTCCTTGAATAAAGATATTGTTGCTGGTGTTCTTTATATTGCTACCGCATCTGATCAGTAGAAAGAACTGGAAGAAAGGTTTAGTTAAGGAAATGCTTCACGCATTTTTCAATTGAAAAAATCGATCTGTGCTCTTAATCAGGTTTGTCATCAGTGACTGATAATATCACCAAGTTCAAAACATTGTGGGATTAATATTTCAATTATCGTCATTTACCTAATGATTCTAGTCCTAGCGTTAAAACTCTATTGGATTATCACCACCAAGATTACGTGCTCCATTTTCTTATGGGACTGAATGAGAATTTTGCTGCAATAAAGGGTCAAATACTGCTATCTGATCCCTTGCCTTCCCTCAACAAATTTTTCTCTTTGATTCTACAAGAGGAAACTCAAAGACATATTGGTTATTATACTCCTCATTTTGTCTCTGCTGCTAAGGTTAGCAAGAAACCACCTGGTACTTCTCTGTCGCAATATTCATCTGGTTCATTCAAGCAATCGTCTGGTCCTCGAAAAGGAAAATTAGATTCTGCTGAATGTGGATATACCTCTCACACGACTGACGAGTGCTTCAGAATTATTGATTTTCCTCCTGGCTTTAAATCTGGCAAGCGTAAGGGAATTAATTCTTCAAGCCAGGTTCATTCAGTGGCATTTTCTGGCGAGTAGAACCTTTCTTCAATGCCCCTCACTCAAGAACAATATAATATTCTCCTCAATTTACTTAAACCTGTCAATGCTCCACCCATTGACACTCATTTGGTTAGTAAGTGCGATAACCTCACCCCATCATCTCAGCCTCAATGCAATATGACAGGTAAACATCATTGCCTATCTTTTTCTTCTACTTCTACTCCCTTTTCAAATACTCCCTAGATTATTGATACGGGAGCAACAGACCACATGGTGTGTTCAACCTCTTTTCTCAATACTATAACAACTAAAGTAAATTCTTTTGTCCAATTACCTATTGGTGCTTCTGCACAAGTTACTCATATTGGTACCGTTTCCTTTTAAGATAAAATTTGTTTAAAAAATGTCATGTGCGTTCCTTCTTTTTCTTTTAACCTGCAAGTCAACTTACTCGCAACTCTAATTGTTGCTTAATTTTTCTATCTTGTTACTGCTTTATTTAGGACCCTATCTCATGGACGACAATTGGTATCGGTGAAGAAAAAGGAGGATTGTATCATCTGTCAAGGTTTTCAGCAGTTTCCAGCAGAGTCTCCATATGTGCTACTTCCTCTGCAAAATCAAATTGTTTTTGATCTTTGGTATTTTCGCTTAGGTCATTTGTCTTCTATTTGTTTAAAAAGTCTTGCTAATTCCAATTCTGATGTAATCTCAAGTATTAAAGAATTCCTTTGTACTATTCGTCCAATGGCTAAACAAAAGAGGCATCCATTTCCTGTTAGTGATATACTTTCTACACATATTTCAATTAGTACATTTTGATGTATGGGAACATTTTGCTTATCCTACTTTAAATGGTGCAAGGTATTTTCTCACCTTAGTAGATGACTTCTCCAGATCAACGTGGATATATCTTTTGCACCATAAATTTGAATCAAAATCATACATTCAATGGTTCTATAACCTTGTTAAAACACAATTTCAAGTTAAAATAAAACAATTCCGCACTAATAATGCCCTTTACCTTGATAGGAGAGATTTTTGTGCTAAAACAGGAATTATTCAACAAAAGAGTTGTGTTGCTACACCTCAATAAAATAGTGTAGTTGAACGTAAACATGAGCACCTGCTCAATGTTTCAAGAGCACTCGTGTTTCAAGCCAATTTACCCCTTCAGTTTTGGGGAGAAGCTATCTTAATTGCAACATATTTGATTAATCATGTACCAACTCCCTTGCTGCAACACAAGTCTCCCTTTGAGATCCTATATGCCAAACCTTCTACTTATATTCATCTCAAAGTCTTTGGTAGCTTATATTTTGCCTCTACCCTATCTCATAACCCTTCCAAATTTGCTCCTCGAGCTCGTAGGTGTATATTTGTTGGATATCCTTATGGTGTCAAGGGATATAAACTTTATGATCTTGATCTTAACACTTCTTTCATATCTCGAGATGTAGTTTTTCATGAACACATCTTCTCCTATAAAGATTTGTCTTCCGTTTCTTATGACAATTCTTTTGTGTTCCCTAAATCTCCCCCCTCTCAAGAATTGGACACTTCCATTCCGACTGTGCCCTCTTCTACACCTATACCTCGTAGGTCTTCTAGAGTCGGAAACACTCCTAGTTACCTTGAACAGTATCATTGCAATCTTCTTCTTCATTAGCTTAACTTCGTTCCATGTGTTCATGTGGCTCGAATAAAGTCAGTACTCCTTATGATTTAGCTGCATCTCTACAATATAGCAAGTTATCACCTCATTTTTCAAGTTTTTGTCTCAGTTTCTACCACTTTTGAGCCTACACACTACTACCGAGCTGTAAAATTTGAGCATTGGAAAAAGGCTATGCAAGCTGAGATAGATTCTCTTGAAGTGAATCAGACTTGGGAATTGACTACCATACCTCCAGGCAAGAAATCTGTTGGTTGTTGATGGGTATACAAGGTCCAATTTCGATCTGATGGGACAGTGGAACGTTATAAAGCTCGACTAGTAGCTAAATGCTACACTCAAATCAAAGGATTAGATTTTTCATACACTTTTTCACGTGTTGCCAAGCTACTAACTGTGAAAACATTACTAGTTATCTTTGTAGCTCGAAATTGGCATGTGCATCAGCTCGATATTGATAATGCCTTTTTAAATGGTGAATTGGATGAGGAAGTCTTCATGAGTCTACCACCTGGTTACTCTTCACCTTTTCCAAATTCAGTTTGTAAACTTAAAAAGTCCCTTTATGGCCTACTGCAAGCATCTCGACAGTAGAATATCAAATTTACTCAATGTCTCCTACAATATGGCTTTACTCAGTCCCAACATGATCATACTCTATTCACTTTACAGAATTCTACTATATTCGTGATGTTGCTAGTTTACGTCGATGACATAATTGTTGCAAGTTCTGATCTGGTTTACATTGATGCTCCCAATGCTTATTTGCATTCAACTTTTAAAATTAAAGATCTTGGCACTATCAGGTATTTTCTAGGATTGGAAATCGCTCGATCTATTGCTGGATTTTTTATTTCACAACGCAAATATACACTTGATGTACTACAAGATTTACGCCTTACAGGAGCTCGTCCTTCCAGTTTTCCTATGAAACAAAATCTAAAATTGTCTCATGAGTAGGGGCGGTTATTAGCCAATCTTGCATAATATCGAAGGCTAATTGGTAGGTTAATATACCTAACTATCACGAGACCTAATTTGATTTTTACTGTTCAGACACTTAGCCAGCTTATGCAAGCACCAAAACAGCTTCATTTGGATGCAATTGACATAATTCTGAGATATATTAAGCATACACTAGCTAGCACAAGGAATTTTTCTGTCAAGCACATCTGATCTACAATTGAAAGCCTTCTGCGATGTAGACTGGGGAGCGTGTATAGATAGCAGGCGGTCTATGACGGGGTATTGTGTTTTTCTTGGAGAAGCATTGATTTCATGAAAATCTAAAAAGCAAACAACAGTATCAAGATCATCAGCCGAAACTGAATATAGAGCAATGCCCACAACCTGCTGTGAAGTGATTTAGCTATTACGAATACTCAAGGACCTTGGTGTGGAGCATTCGAAACCTGCATTAATGTATTGTGACAATAAAACAGTTTTGCATATAGCCTCCAATCCAGTTCTCCATGGAAGGACGAAACACATAGATATAGATTGTCATATCGTGAGAGAGAAACTACAAAAGGGATTTATCAAAACAGTTTATGTTTTTTATGAACATCAATTGGCAGATATTCTGACTAAAGCTCTGAGAGCAAATCAATTTCTTTCTTACTTAGCAAGATGGGAATCATGGATTTGCACCAGTCCATCTTGAAGGGCATGTTACAACGCAACAACCAGTTGAAGCAAAACCGGTGGATGAAACTGAAACATAAGCTGAGACAAAAATTGGAGGTGATTGAAGTTAGTTAGGAAAGCTGAGCTGGAATACAGGTGTTAGTCAGCAGCTAGAACTCGGTTAGTTAAATTGTAGCTGGCAGCTTGATAGCTATTTCCATAAATAGAATCAATGTACAAACAGCAATCAATTGAAGAAGAGAATACAATAGAAAAGAGAGTGATTCTCTCTGCATTTTTCATTCTTATATCTTTTTCAGTTTTTTAATACAACGGTTTTTACGTTTGCGCTTCTTGGATATGGAATTAAAAGCCAATTGTGGCTTGAGACAACTTCAGTCCATCAGGAGTTATTTTGCCTCAGGTACTACTTTGGTGTGTTACTGATATTCTTACAAATATATTTGTTTGATACTTGCTTATCTTGTCACAGTCGCAGCTTTACTAGAGCAAAGCATAGACAAAATCCGTGAACTTCATAGATTGCATAGTTATGAAAGAAATTAAGCTCCCCTATTGAACAAAGTGAACGTAACGAATGTAACATAGTTACTGTAGAAAAGAGCGATGTGAAATAGAGAGGAATGTAATGGAAAATACTTCCGTAGTGACTTGAATGGAGTGAAGCGACCACATCTGGGCACATATACATGACAGGGCAGGGAGGGCTTCCCACACGCACCGCCGCCCGTTGCCATCCTCGAGAATCATATAAAACATGCGTGTCCTCATAAGATATTAATACAATACTAAAAAAAATTAAAGAAAACATAATCAACCATCGAAAGTCAAGATTCTCAAATATAGCAAATAAAGACACTCAGAAACCCGTCTCAGTCAAGTAAAAGCTAGATGCTGCAATTTCTCTAGTTCTAATCAGACTTGGTTGACGTCTCATCCTGCCAAGTTGCTTGCCACTGCTTATCATAAAATGTCGTCTCCTCCAGCAATTTCTTAAGGGTTTCAATATCCTCGTTCTTTCTTATCAGAAGAACACCCACTACAGCTATGAATAACAGTGTTTTACAGAAGAAGTTGCCCATTTGATCTACAAGACCTACCCCGGTCAAACTATCAACGAGGTACGCCATGAAGAAGCCAATCATTGCAGCCCGACCTGCATAAAAGTTTAATGTCATTAGTCCAAAACATTCCCGATACTCAATACATTTCTAAAATTTGAATGCATGTTTAGTATGCGGTACTATACGACTTGATAGTACAATGGACAAGACTTTAGATATTTTATTTTGTTTAATATTGTCCAGCCCTATCCAATTCCGTGTACCATATATGCCATAAAGAAAGGGACCGAAGATATGTCCTAACCATTGAGCAATTCAGCTTCTGGAAGATGGAATCTTTTAATCCATGCCCACCATGGAACTATGGCAGTGTCAAAAGCGATAGGATCCTCATTACTTGATGATTGAGGATTATCTTCCATCCTTTTTCTCCTTTTCACTTCTGCAAAGAATTAACCACATACTCCAATGAAAATCAAATGATCTCTACAGTATTATGAATATTTGGAGACTGGAGAGGTGAACAAATATCTAAACAAATGTATGAAAAAAAATAATGCAGCAGAATACATAAATATAGTTAAAAATTGAGGTCATTTAGGTCAAAACAGCTTTGAACTGTTGCCATGAGCTTTAAAATGCTCGAGAGGTCAACCCAGTGATAGATACACAGACAAGAACTCTTAGAGCAGATATAATACCAAATCATGGAATAATCTTTAAACCTTAAAGTAAGCAACCAAAAACATCCTTCTTTATCCAGTTCAAGTTGATTTTACAAACTCACAACCATATGAAAGAAAGTAGCTTCACGCAATTAGTTTTAACCTGACATTAGTATGAGCTAGCACATGTAACGACACAATGAAGAAGACTGACATCTATAAAGACAAGTAATAAACAAAGAATAACTTATTTAGTTTGGACAAGCGGACAAGGAAAATAATGCATAAAAGTTCATCACAAAACTTAGCATTTGAAGCTCAATTTTATATAGAGTTTAACTTTAGGCAAAGATAAATTGAACGACAACATTTCCAATACGTCAACAAAAATACACTTCCCTCAAGCTTCTTATTTAGCTTCGTAACTTTTGCCATATCATAAATTTTACCCTAAATGACAGGGCATCAAAAGGCAGTTGAGGGGGCATGCTGAGTCCTCATCATATGAGGTATAAGCTTTAAGGGACGAAACCCTTCCCCGATTGCCTCAAGGTATTTTAGCAATGCCTTTGACTAGTGTTTAATCCGCTCCACCATCTGACATGTGTTCTCTACCATTTCCCAGCTTTCCATGGGCGCCAAAATATTCCAATAGTGAATATAAAGTTCAGATATTCGGGCAGTTTATTCCAATTTAGTGACCACACCCTCACCTCAGGCAGTTAGACTAGTGTCTTGAGCACTCGATTCAGCTCACAACAGTCTCAAATCAGCATAAACAACAAGAGGTGTAGAAACATTGGTGAATGGATCAACAAATTGTTTAAGTCTTATACAGAATAAATTTGGGGTCAATAATGATAATCTATTTGTCATACTGTATAATTTCTTGCTACCTTTACTAAAAGATCCAAAGCAAGCAAATCATTAACAATTATCAACCACGTGACACTAATTTATGTTTACCCCTCTCCCTTCTAACCTGTTCTACTAAGCATAGCAGCATACATAGACAGAGGGGAGAGAAAAGTCACCAGCATCAATAACAGCGTCCCAATCGGTCTTCCCATCTTTCGCGAACTGCTTCAAGTCCCAAGTCCCTCCAACCCATTTGGGGTCCTGAAATTTATTCGCACTCTCCACCACCTCCTCCGTAGCTGGCGCCGGAGCTTCGGCGGCGACCAGCGGAGGAGACCCATGAGAACCTAGATTCTCCCCAGCACTCACAGGACTTTCAGAAGGTTTCTCTTCCTCCCCTGAAACAGAAGCAGCTACTCCGGACCCCTCATCAGCACTGGCAAAAATGGGTACCAAATACTGAAGCTTTTTCGAGGGTCTCAAAGAAAATTCGGGCTTGTAGAATATCTGGGTCTTCTTTACATGAGGAGGTGAGAGAGTCGTGAGGTGAGTAGGAGGAGTCGATGAAAACATGGCCATTGACATTGTTAGAATCGATTTGCTGTGTTGTGAAAGGGAAAGGGAAAGGGAAAGGGAAAGCGAAGAGCTTAGTTCAGAACGTAGCGATCTTCTGCGCTATCCTCATCCGAAGGGGGTGCCTTTTGTACCTGCCTTTGTAATTAACGTCATACTCCCTATGCTTTTGTGAATTTCTGCTTGGACCTCGTGGTGTTTGAGAATGTATAGAAAATCCTCTGTAGTCGAAACTTTTCATACAATAGATCCCAAAATAAGAGCGAACTGAACGGTGAAAATCACGAGGGATCTTTATGCAATCATGTCAACTACACGAAAACGTTTACACGGGATAACTTTCTAAACAAGACTATTAGATTGTCGCTGTCATCACCTTCTACCATAAGTACAACAAACTGACAAGCAAAATTAAAAATCACCACAAATCACTATTTCGAAAATTACGGATGTATAATCGATCCTGCCACCATCTCCCCAATCCTCACAATAATCACCACCCCGCCTCCATCATATCCCCAAAAATCACAACAGACCAAAAATCAAACAACAATCGACCCCACCGCTCCTGCTCACCGCACAAAACAACGACTAGGTTTATATATAAATCTCATATATGCAATTCGAACTCTAGCATCGTTGCCAATCCACACCACCCCAATCAGATTGACAACCTCGATCGTGGTAAATTCGTGCTCATCTGCACTTCTCTCACTGAGCCCAACCCGATCATGGCGGCTCAACCCACATCATGGTGTTTGATGGCTCCATGTATAGTTCTTGATACACAACTACTTCTCTCCTACTCCACATTCTCTTCAACGTGTTAATGCCTCCATGTATAGTTCTAGACATACTCGATTTTTGAAATTATGCTCTTATTCGACTCTCATTTTCTCAAACTCAATTTTTATCACAATTCACATGATCCACAACTTTTATCAACTTGTATCAAAATTTACTAAAAAATTGATTTATAGATATACCAAACAAGACTTATATATCATTTGCCTCCTCTTAGTAATTTGAATTAGTCAACGTGTTCTACTTTGTTGATATTAGAATTGACGATATAGTATATCAAACTTGAATTAGGTCAACTAATTTCTCATGTAGTCAAGTAAAACAAACAAGCCTCTACAAAGAGAGCCATTGGCTGAACAGATTGGCCGTGTAGACCACGACTCTAGAAACCTAGGTCCAACGTGTTTGCAAGATCGGCCGAGAACTCTTTGCTACATTCATAGGAATGTGTGAAAGAAATTATTTTTTGGGATTGTTCAGAGAATAATCACTTCTTCGAAAAAGGAAGTAATGCAGCAAATGGCCCCAACTTGTTCTACTACTGTTGCATAATGCTTCAGCTTCAACTTCAAAAGGGTAATAACATACATTTGCATTGTTATATTTAGAAAACTCGAAAAAACAAAGGTACAACAAAAAAAAAAAA